ATTTATTCTCAGGCAATATCTTGTTGTTTCAAAATTAACTTTTATATATATATTAATTATAATAATTTAGAATTTATTTAAATGTAGTAGTTTATAACTAAAAATTAATAATATTTTTTATAATTATTGAAATACATCATTTATTTCATAGAAGCGTACTTAAAAATATTAAATCAAAATACATTTTTCTATTTAAAAAATTACTTTTGACATAAATTAATAAAATAATATTTTTATAAGCTTTAAACATTATATAAAGAGATTATGAAAGTGCATTATGTATTAATAAATTTAATTTAAAAAAATTGATTTATATTTATAAGCTGACTTCAAAAATGGAAATGATTTATAATTTATATAATGTAAGCGGATAAATGATAGTAATATTCATTGCATCGTTCTTTTTACAAGCATATTTCTTAGCGGAACGAATTTATTTAACATTTTCTAATGATTAATGCATTAATATTTAGCAAATTGCATTTAAAAGCTAAAGTTATTCCTTATGAATGAGATAACAGAAGAAGTTAGCAATGAGCAGTGAATAATTTTGAAATGTGGCCATTTGACACTATACAATTTTCATTTTTTCTTGCTAAAAAAAGCAAAAAGAAACTAACAGTAAAAAGTAAAATTACTTTAAAGGTCTATTTCTAACTCGTCCATTATATAACTTCGAATGACGTACATTTATGAAAGAAGATAGTGGAGGAAAATATTCAATTAAAACTGTTGTTTAATGTATTTTTATGTTTCAAATTTCTTTGTAAAATTGTCTTCAGAAAGCTCGTTTAGCTTAAGATGCTTTTTTTCTAATAAAATATGCATGAAATACGTCTTAGGAATAAAATTTCTCCCAAAACGTATAAACATAAATGGTTATGATATTTTAAATTTTACAAAAGGTCTGCAAACAAGTTAAGATTGTGTTGATCTTTACCTTTGCACTAATAATAAACTGAAATATATTTGTTAAAAGCTTAAGTTTATCAATAATACTTTTTCATTAATCATGAATTCATTCTCGTCTATATACTTTACAAATTATAATATATTCAAAAGGTTTAAACGAATTTCCTTCATAGTCGTTTCTCGCATGTACAACGTTGTATAAACATAATTTATCCAGTTTGATGTATTACATTTTTCTATTCGAACGAGGATATTTGTATTTAAATATACATTCTTCATTTCATATTCACAGGCAATTTAAAATAGAGTAAACATTTATAAATATTTTATTTATAACAAGAATTCTCTGCAAATTCATTTATAACTTAATGAATTCGAATTCATTTTGATTCCATAAATAGAATTATTCTTTTCGAAAAATATTTTTAAAATATTTAATATAAAATATTATGATTATTTTTTTTGTAACTAAAAAAAGGAATTTTCTTTAAATATTTCTAAATATTACCAGGGTTATAGATTTCTTTAAACAAAAATTAAGGCGATAAATTCAAAAATATAAATGCAATTACGGAGATAATAAAAGACGACGATGAAAAAAAAAATTATGCATTTTTTTTATGTTTTCTCTTCGAACTTCGTCACTAAGTAATTAGAATTTTTTGCAATTTTAATACAAAAGTTTAAAAATTTTATTTTGTTTTCACAGTGAGTGATTATTTGATTTATTTCAAAGCAATCTAAAATTTTCTTATTTGTTCCATCAGTGACACATCTTTTACATTCTAAAGCGCGTTTTTCTTAGTTTCCACTTGACCTATTACTTCATCACTCCGACATGCCTCATGATTCGCAAGACCAATCTTGTCTATCCAATATCTCCATAGTTGCTTTGCAGACGCAAGATTGCTACGGACATCATTTCTCAAACCCACTCTCTTTTCTTACAAATTACTACTCTTCCATTCAGTCTCTCGCATTTCCACTTCCATCAACGTCTTTTCCCTTTTTTCTAATATTGACATAAACTGACACTTCTTTCTATTCAACTCTTAGCTTATCTTTTCTATAGACACTAAAACACTGATCAAACTAGTCTCAACGAATGTCTACTTATCTTCGAGTCAAACATATCTACAAACATTGATTGATAGCAAGCTACCTTGGTGATTTCTACTGTATATCTAAGAGAAAAAGAGAAAACGAACAGCTAAATTAAAAGAATTTTAACTAAATTATTTTAAAAAGTTATGATTTTTAAATCAATGAAATGTTTTTAATATATTAATTTCGCATTGTTCTATGAAGAATAATATATATATTTAATACGCTAGTTTATATTTTATTTAGAAAATAAAAAACTATATTAGATTAGTTAATATAAAAAATTTAAATGTTTATTGAATCACGTTTAGGACCGTGTTTAATACAGAAAAAAGGTTTTTTGCATGTTTAATACGATTTTTTACTGAACACTTACTCTATTTTAAAAAATCATTGTGCTTTCAGCCATTTCAATATATAAATAGCAAAAACGATTGTGAAAACTTAACACTTTGTACTGTACATTGTTTTATTTATTTCTTTTTTCCGGAAGTGCGAGGTTCAAGACACTATTTCTTTCGTGTTATCGGGCGTTGTTCTTTTCCCTTTATTTTCTTTATTGTACACATACATCGATACCTTCAAAAAACACAACACGTTTCTGATGCATCTTCTGCCAACCGAAATCACCAGAAAGATAAAGTTACTCTATTTGGGATAGATAGTCCCCTGTTACTCACTGTTGATTGCAACAAGTATTTCGATGTCATTTCGGAAAGTACATTGGAGGAAAAAATTCCTTGCCACAGTAGCAATTGTACGATGACTCTATTTAAGACAGTTTGAAAGATTATATAACCTTTAGGGAATTTTAGAAATCACAAAAGATAGATTATTAAAAAAAATTACAGCACATATAATAAATTGAATACCAGTATTTTNATCCAAAACAGAAACGTTAAAAATGTAGTTAAAATATTCTTTCACTCGAGTTTTTCCATATGATTAGGGAAATCCTAAATATTCTTACCTATTACTCTGAGTATTAAATCGGCATTTCTCGTTTGTGCCTTCTTAAAGTCTACTCGGCACCTGTAATGACCGTCATCCTCTAGAGTCACGGGATTTAGTTCCAACATTGCTGGTTTGTGTCCGATCGACAGGTAAGATCTGCTAGCAATAGCATCATTGACAGCGTGTCTAGCTTGGCTCAGCCTCCTTCGACGCCCGTCTAGACTGTAAATCGGAGCCACAAAATCGTCTTTATACCAAAGAATAAGCGAAACGTCATCATCTGGCGTCGGAGGAGTTATATCACACGGGAGTTTGACTTTTTCTCCAGCTACTCCAATGATGGTTAACAGATTCCCTAAAAAATATGCAAACAAGCTTTATTAAGATTATAGATCTTTACGCATATAAACATGAATATATATCTTAAAAGTTTGGAATAATGATAGTTTCGAGAGTTTCGAAGATATAATGCTTTCGCCTATTAACTTTCATTGTGAAAAGATCCGATCTTGCAAGATATTCTAAAGCACTCTCGAAAATGACTCTGTGGAAGGATGTTTCGGAATGACCATCTGGACTTTAATCGAATTTATTGCAATTTAGTGTCTTTTGAAAGTTCGGTCGTTCACTTCAGTCTGTGGTTTTATTCTTAAGAATTTCTTTTATTTACATTTTTAGCTTTCAACGAAAATAAATTTCATCGACTTACTACTAAATCCATTTCGATCATCCGAAGGATTATGGTAGTTAGCCTTTGACAGTTTGGAATATATTTCGTTTCGATCTATACCAATTTAGCTAAAATCCTTTTTAATTAAACAGACTAAAAGTATTTAGTAGCAAAACTTTTTAAATAATAAATTTTTTCTGTTAGAAATTAAAATATTTCACAATCTAATAACTTATAATGTATTTTTTATCGATTACTTGCAACTACTTAATGTTTTTGGAGCCATAAAAAATACTATAATATATAAATTAAATTGCCATGGAGATTTTTACTTAATAATTACAATCTGTATACTATTTTCTTTTTCCAGAAAACATCGTATTAATTTTTTAAAAAATTAGAAAGACATTAACAAACTGTAGAAAGAGTATATTTGAAACCAGTTTTTATTCCTCAAAATCAAAATACAGAAAACGCATCTATATTAAACTACAGAGAAGAATATTGTAAATAAACTTATATGGAGAAATAGGTATATCGTTTCTAAAACCTATATAAAAGAGATTTTCAATTTTGATATACAGTATCTTTCTTCTTATATTTATATGAGTAAAGGACTAATATAACAAATGCCTATACAGAAGAATATTTTATGTTTAACTGAGCATTTCTTGAATAAATAAATAATAAAATTGGTAATAACAGCGTACAATATTCTATATGCATTACGCTATTAAAGTTTTAATAAAATCACCCATATAATTTAACATAGTAAATTTTTATTATCGCATATTGGCCAATGTAATTTTCTCGCAACGACCAACCTATTCTGCATTTAACCTTATTATCTTTAGAGTACCGATAACTGTTTGATAACGCGAACTTTATAATGGAGTAAAGATAATTATCAATTTCTATAATGTTATTATATAATAAATGCAACATATAAATGTTATATATTGTAATAAGCAAAATCGATAAAATATAAATTAAATTTTTACAATTCATTAATTCGTAATAACTTGCTTCGTTATTGTAAAATATTTAATTACATTAAAGTTTTAAAATTTCAAATATTTATATTTAAAATTCTTATTTAATAATTTACAGGAACGCCTTAAGTATTAAAATAATTACAGATAATATTTCATAAACAAATCAAATCTTAGTTGCATTTTATAAAATATTAAAACACTTTTTAAATTTTTATTTTAAAGCATTATTTGAAAATATAATTATATTTTACAGCTTAAAATGTCAAATAAACACGCATTTTTGTATTCAATTTTGTTTAAATAAATTATTTATAAATGACGATTTTTATTTAATCATCGTTTAAAAGTAATTATTTTGATGTCAAATTGGATTTGAAAATAATAAAAAATACACACACACACACACATATATATATTTGCATTAACAAGATAATAAAAACTTAAAAATGATCATTGAAACAACGCATTGATATGGAAAGCAATTCTTACTTTTGGGACAATTTACAAATAAAAAGAAAAAAATGTTAAAGATTGCATTGAGACCAGTAGAAAACCAAAGTAAATCTTCATAGAATGACTGTTATCTAGCCTGTCAAAGGAACAAGATTTCCGCCAACTTGCTTTGGACTTTCTGGTACTACAAAGAATTATTGAGGCAAATTGTTTCCAGAAAGTTTGCCTTAGAGAGAGGATTGTGTGCCAGATGTCCATTGGTTTACGTCTCGATAAATTCTTTTTGATTCAGGCTCATGTTTGGTATATTCAACAATGCATCTATTTTTATCTTGTAAAGTTAAAAAAATAAGTCTAAAGTAACAAAATTTTATCGATAACAAAATTTAATAGTATTATATTAACAACAGTTTCCAAGATCGATTGGAATAAAAAAATATCAATTCTCAAATTTAATTGAGTATAGTAAATTAAAAAAAATTGTCTTATCAGTAGATTTTAAGGAGAAGAAAAAAAATTCAATACCAAAATAATGAAACAAAATCAAATAAAATTTAAAATAGAGAGAACAAAGAAAATAAATTAATTCACACTAACAAAACAGAAAATTTATATAGTCCTACAAAAAATAGAAACTTCCGAGTTACTTATGGTTTAGGTAATTGAAAAAATAAATGCATAGCAATAAACTAAAACAAGGTTTTTTATAGTCCATCTTAAACAATAAAGTCAGCCTGCTTTTTACAATGAAGAAATGCAAATCGTGGTTATACAAATTTCACTGAATTTTTTAAATATTGAATCAACTATGAAATTTTTAAAAATCAAATCTATCTAAACATTAAATAAGTTAGCGTTTATTGAAATTTTCTTATCATTTAATTTTATTTATATAACTTAACATCTCTTTAAAATGAAAGCATTCGAAAAATGTTATTAGTTAATACGCTTTTTTATATGTTTATTTTTTTTTATCTATTAACTAGAATAAATAACTATTTTCATCAGAAGTAAGATGGTATAGAGGAAATCGATATATATATTATAATTTCTTAATGTTTTTTAAAAAATTCTATACAATAAACTTTAAAAAAGTAGAAATCAATCATTTAATTTAATTTTGGTAAAGAATTTATAATAATATACAAGCTGCTTTTTAATTCATTAAAACACAATATTCTCCAACTGAAACAAATTTCGGTTTCTGACCAAATCAGGTAAGTAAACTTGATAGAATGCTGCAGCAGTAAATGAGCTTATGAAACAAGTGCAGCTGTTCAATTCGCATGCACAGGATTCCTCCTGGCACTGGAGCAAAGGAAGAGTTTCTCCGAAAATCTTAGACTGTATCTACGAATGACTAAATTTTATATTTCAATTGTAACTTCCGTATTTCTCGTTTTATCAATAAAATATGCTTGAGTTTTTTTTTCATATTACAAATTTGGATTTTTACTTTTGTATTTTAAATTAAAAAATTAACATAATCAATATGCACGACCTTTCTTAAATTCGAATTCATTGTTTCTGATTACAAATGCCTACTTACATAAAATCACTCGTTATAAATTTATCGTCAATACTAAATTTTTAATTTTTAATTTTTCTTAAACTCATACATGCGAGGAAATAGCAGAAATCGGTGTAATGCAATTACTGATATTTCCGTAGTTAAAATAAACATTTGATTAAAATTTTATAAAAACTAATGAATTTTATATGCTAATTTCACAGAAATAATTTCTAAGAATTTTCACAAAATACCGAGTAATTTATAACTTTATATATAAATTTTTAAAGTATTAACACGCCTCTTAGAATTCCAGATTGAATGATCTATATACAATATTTATTTTTTAAAAATTCCACGATAAGATAAATGATCTTGTTTTACCATATTTTAATATTAAAGTCTGTATTAAAAACCATAAGTAATGAGTAAATAGTGGATAAATATTGAGGCAACGGCTCTCTATCGTTTACATAGATATTTTTTGTGTTATTTTCAGAGATAGATGAAAGTCTTTGATATGCCAAGAAATGTATGTGTAGTCTACATAGGAATGAAAATCATGGTTCTCCAGGGAAGCATATCTTTCGAACATAGAATCCAAGATGCTCTAGGAAAAAACTTGTTATCTTAACAAAAAAATAACTAAAAGTCAGTAGAACGAAAATATACATAAAATAGCAATAATATTAAATATTTTTTATTTTATACAAAAAATTACTCACTCGAGTGATATGTAAGACTTTAAAAACAGATACGAGAGTAATTTTTGGGACTGTTCTGAACCTTAACAGTGCCTATCTTTGAAGATATAAACTGGCTTATATTCTTAGTCACGTTTGGCAGATGTTGCATCAGAAACAGTTGTGACAGGTCATGGAAACTGCTGCTCTATACTTTGTCCATAATCTGATTTAGAAGGAGTTGTTTGCAAAAGGTTCCATTGCTGCTAATATTTCTCTCTCTGTTAATATAACGATTTCTGCCTCAAAGTAGATTCGATTGATCAATAAGTAGCAAGAGACATTGGAATTATAAGCAGCGACATCGAAAAATAATAAGATTATCGTCTTAAATTATGTAAATCGTCAAATATATTAAGACAATTTACTTTACACTTTTTCTTTCTTGTTAACTAAATTAATCTTAAAATGACGAAATGGAAAATTATTACAGTTTAAAAAAGTACTTTTTCTTTGTTTGAAATGATCGATGATGCGAAATCATCCTATTTACGTAGTCAGATAGAATTTTAAATAGAATTTCAAGTTTCTGTACACGTTCTTAAAATAGATGATTGGCTTTTATCCGTAATCAAAATCCAATACGTGATATCATGTTATATTGTGCTTGAAGAGAACTTTTCTGCCAAAGCAGACTTACATCAATGCACAAATTTAGTTTAGAAGAAAATTTGATAATAAAAATTCTATATGACTCAAATCGTTTATCTTTTATCTAAGCATTTCTGTTGAGAAAATTGAAAGTTAGTACAATGTTTTTGAACTGAAAAGTTTATAACGCAGCAAAATTGTTAGAAATCTTCAATAATAATCTTTCGTAACCATAATATTGTTCAGCAGTTTAATAAATATGTAAATTTATTTATTTTTTACATTTAAAATAAAAAAAAACACTATATTATTTTTGGATTATAATACATTTTTTTTCAAAGTCCGTTACTATTTATAGGAAAAAACTTTGCATTAGCTAGCAAAGAATCTAGA